CTAACCGCTATGTTATGCTCACGTGTTCTGATAATAATAGCTTTCTAGGACTAAACATTATTTGGATAATTGGTGAAAAAAAAAAAAAAATTGTTTTTAAATATCTTAACCCTATTAGAACTACCTGAAAAACTAAAAAGCAATTTATTTAATTTGAAGGCCTGTCCGACTAAAAAAAGGTTGGGAAACACTGGTGTAGACTACTTGGTAAAGATCTGGGATGGTCACCGAAAGATTGTACAGTCAAACCCCGGTAAAGGGTTAATCCATCAACAATCAAAACTGTGGTCTTGATCAAGGTAGAGGTCTGTACACTCCTGGGACTACTGAGGCTATGCCACTATGAGGCTAAGTTTTGAAATAATGAGTGTAAGGGTGGTAGGAAAGATGAACAGTTTCAGGTGAAGTTTTCGATATTCTCAATCGAGAAAAGCACCATCCTTTTGCCTCTACCTCTATCAGTGGGCTTTTAATGGCTGGAACAGGACAGACAGAATCTTGCAGGAACACGACTAAAACATCCGTCCCATGCAGACCTCTAGATCACGTCTTTAAAGCAAGAGCTTTTATCTTTGGAAAAACGTGCACTGATGAACTGTGCAAAATTATACTGCGCTTCAAGTAAGAATTTCCAGACATTCCTACTTGGAAAATAGAAAGAGTATTGCATAGCATATCCTCAACTGCAAAGACAATGGTACTACTGACATCTGGTTTGTTTCACCATTATCTTTATGTCCGCAAAAAAATGACTTCCGAAAAATTCGACTTTGAAATGCAATAAAAATCTATAAAATTGAGTCTTTTTTTCCTCAAGATTATGCCAGACTGCTAAGAACTGCTAATTAACAAATTAGTAAATTAGCACACCTCTTGAAGCTGTGGCTCCTCCTTCGGGTGGTCTTGACTTTCCAGAACGGATGGCAAATATCCTCCCATCGTTGGTCCTGATGTATGTGCCTGCAACGCCAGTGACAGAATATTAAGTGAATAAACCTTACCAAATCCCAGTGAACAGGAAACCCTTGCAACAGTCTTCTGAAACTGAGGTACCTTTGGATCCTCTGATAACGTGAATACTCTCTCCTGCACCGATCCGGGCTTGGACATCCGTGCTGCTGTTGGAACCTGGGATCACAATATCTGCAATGCAGAGATATAAAACCATGAAGAAACAAACTGGGAGACCTTAAACATAGCAAGAAATAGCATGGATTACAAGTGAACTGTCTGTACCAGTGGTGGTGACGATGCGCTGCACGTAAACGCCGGCCTTTTGCAGGTAGTTGACGGGGAATCCCGCGCTTGAACTGGGGACACTCATGGGTACCTGTCGGGGCATCATGGGAATGGGTGTGGACTGAACTGGTCTCACACTTGCAACTGGTTTTTCTTCTAAATGAGGAGGGGGCCGCCTGAACGAAAGGTTTAGATGAGCAAACACATTTTAAAACACTCTTTAAAACTGAAAGGCACTACATTGAGGGTTTTCTGTGGTGGACCCACCAGTTCCTCTGGCTGAAGGCGGGAATATTGGTGAGTCTCTGGTCACTAGCTGGGTAGTAATGTGCGTAAGAGGGCCGCTGATACGGCACAGACGCCCGCTTCTCATCTTCATAGCTTTTCTTGGCTGCTCTCTTTTCCGCTTTGGTCAGTTTCGAATCCTTGCGGTCCATCAGGAGAGACTCGTGATGGAACGGTTGCTGGTATGGAAAACAGACAGATATTAGCATAGGCGACTGAATGACCTAGAAAGGAATATTAGCACTCGAATTACTTAATCTTATTAATATTCATAAGTTAAACCTTCACCATTGTAGGATTTAGAATTTGTCTGAAACATTCCAATTTATAAATGTTTGTTTGTATGAAATTCTGATAAAAATTCACTTATGTGACGGGATGCTCCAGTAAGGTTATGAAGAAACGTAATCATTACCTAATTAATATTCATAAGCTCACACCAAAGTAGGATTCATCATTTTGCCAGAATACCTTAATTTGGACACTAAACAGCTGATGTATAATACAGATAGAGATATTATGTTACATGATTGGATGTGCCAGTAAGGTTATGAAGAAACTTAAGCTCAACCCAATTAATATTCATGAGCTCACACCAGTAGGATTCATAATTTTGCCAGAATAGCTTGATTTGGAGACTAAATAGTTGGTGTATAACACAGATAGATATTATGTTACATGACTGGACGCTCCAGTAAAATTGCACAGCTATGTAAACACAAAGTAATTACCATTCATAAGCTAAGCCTAAACCATAGTAGGATTCAGACTTAGGGCAGAATTTTTGGATTTAGAAAAATGGCTGCAAAAGTTTACGAATCAACAGCAACACAGCCTAATTAATATTCATGAGCTAAGCTTTCAAATCGTATGATTCAGAATTTTGTGGAATAGAATTCACTATTCCAGAATTTTGTTTGAAATAGTAACATTTTAAAACTGATATGGAAGACAAACAGAGTATTTACCTTGGTTAAGAGGTGTGGATATAACAGGCAGGCTTGTTTAATGACGATTTCTATGTCCTCACTAGGGACCTGCTCTGATTGGCTGGGACCAGGCACCTCCTCTACAAAGTGCAACAGTGACTCCACTTCCTTCCGTGTGAAGGTGAGGACAGGGTTCAAATCATCCACGACTCGATCTGTTCAACAGGCAATCATAATGTCAGAATTGTGTTTGCATGAAGACACAAAAACTCCCAGACCTTCCACCCTCTCTTACCAGACATGCCCTGCTTGGACACCTGCCGGTCGTAGATCTTCTTCTCCAGTGTGAAGTCACACACCAGCCTATAGATGTGGCAAGGCTTGCACTGGCCGTAGCGATACACGCGACAGACAGCCTGAGCATCGTGACATGGATTCCACGATGCGTCGAAAACCACCACGCGATTCGCACCGATCAGATTCACCCCCAAACATCCAGCCCTGCAAATAAAGCAGCCTGTTAGTCCAGACCTCATCATTTTGTCACTATTTGTGGCATATTTTGCACTCAAGTTCACCTGGTGGACAGCAGGAAGACCCAGGTTTGGTTGTTCGCTGGGTCATTAAACTGGTTGATGAGTCTTTCTCTCTCTGAAGCCGATGTGCTCCCATCCAACCCTGCACAAGAGACGAAAATGCAGTGAATTTACAAAGAACAAATACCCTAAACCACCACAAACCTCAGGCAGAGTTGATCTATAGGACGCAGAAATGAAAATGATTAATTAATATGCATTTAATAATGGTCTGTAGAAAAAGTTAAAACAAAAATAAATAAATAAAAGTTTCTTTGGACAAATATTTATGAAAATGCATTTTGAGATGTACTGCTAAAATATTTGAATACTTATTATATTAATATTTTTCAGATATTTAGATATATTAAACATTATAATTTAATCACAAATAAAGTTTAAAAATGCTTAAATTATAACTTAAAAATTACATGAATATTACAAATTATTACTATTATTATTAATTAAAATTATAAGACACTTATCACATTTATTTCTCTCACACAGTATAAACGAGGCGTTTAAAAATAAAGTTGCCTTTTTATTTTTCAAATATATTTGAATTATTAATTATTATTATTATTATTATATTTATTTCCCAAATTTTTAAACATTAAATTTCAACACACTTAAATTATCATTTAAAAATTCTAATAACCACACTTACCATTTCTTTCACACAGTGTAAATAAGTACACTGTATAGCTTAAAATATATAGCTGAAAACTTTGTGCATTTTTGTAATTTCTATTTTTTTTTGTCTTTTTTAATTAATGTTTATAATCCAAGTTATTTAGTTTTTTTTAGTGCTTTAAATTAAACTAAATGAGAAATGTTGCCTTAGCAACTAGCTGAAATAAAATAAGCTGCCGTTTTGAATATTTTATTTTATTTCATTTTTTTAATGGTTTTAGTTTTAGTTAACATTAACAACCCTGGTCCTTGGCATCAGAAAATGTTTGAAAACTCACTGTAGTAATTGACATTCCGGACCCAGCTGTGTGTCCCAGTTTCTGTTTGGATTGGCATGGGCCTCCGACTCAGGAAATCTTCCATAACCGTGAGTGTTGATAGACTCTGACTGCAAGAATCACACACAGATAAATAAGCCAGTGTAAGCACTGATGTAAATGCAAAATAACAGCATGGCTGACAGTTCAGGATGCTTAAGGAGAGATTACAGAAAAAGGCAAACATCTGTATACTGTCACACATGGAAAAGGTAAACATTTCCCACCTGAAAACAAGTATTTTATCTCTTCGTTTGACACTCTCATCAATTAGGTGGAAAAGCAGAACCATCTTGGCCGAGTTCTCCAGAACACCTGTCTGGTAGTTGGTCATGATGTCTTTTGCCTAAAACAAATGATTCAAAAAGCATTCAAATGTGTTCAAAATGTGCAGAAATTACATCATGAATAACACATGACCACAACATTTACAACTAAAATCTATTCAAAGTTCAAAGTTCATACCAAATTTGGGAAGAAAATGTATTGCGAATCAAGCCACTGAAAACACCGGTCAACACACATGTAAAACACAGTGCTGCGCTTTACTCTGAAACATGCATCACATACATTCATTTAAAGGGGTCATATGACGTTGCTAAAAAAGAACATTATTTTGTGTATTTGGTGTAATGAAATGTGTTTCAGAGCGACGAGACAAAAACATTCAAACCCATTATAAACGAGGCATTTGTTGCATCCAGTGGGGACATAATTACTGATTATAATGACTCGTACTGTCTTTTTACGCGTTGCATCATGCCGCGTAAACATAAAACCATGTCTGCATTTGTGATCGGAGAAATGACAAACAACAAGCCCTACTCTACACTGCTCAAAACTCGCGTTTGGTATCATCAGTGGCAAATCCTTTAAATATGAAAACGTACTTACAGGCTGTGAGTCAGCATTATTTATCAGAACACTGGCATTGTAGTCTACTCTCACAGGAAACAGTCCTCGTCCTCCGTAAAATGCGCCGCACACATCTGAATATTTGGGTTGAACTGTTCTGGAACAGTGTTGTAAATACAACTTAATCACTGATTTCTAGGCGTTTTAGGAGGGTGTGGACGAGTCTTAACTTTTATAAAGAATATCTCTTTGGGTTTGAGACTTTAGTCTTTGCAACTTTAGGGATCTTATCTATTCACAAACAGCTTGTAACACAAGGAAAACTTGAAATCGCATCATATGACCCCTTTAATTAAATCACAGCCTTTGTGATTTGATCATCACACTAAGCCATATTGCGTTTTCGTTTTTATTTCAATTAACTGTGTTCCTACAAAAATGAACTCCTTCTTAGTTGCAAAGTTTTACCCATTCATATGTGATGACTTGGTTGGCCCTCTCCTGTAAGGGGTTCAGGGGTCCCATAGCAGCCATCTTGCTGTTGGCCGGGTCGGACGACTTGCCCTTTATTCCTGGTGCAGAGCAGCGGGTCCCGCTGGTGGAGTTGAGGTCATCCAGGTCAAGATCCTGCTCATTGGCCAGATTTTCCTTCTGCAGAGTTTCGTACAAAACGTCCGGATGATTCCAGATCTACGGGGACGCACAAAAAGGAGTTATAAGCACATTGACTAATATATAGCAACACATGTGTCTTTGATGTGCAAGTACCTTGCAGCAAACACAGAAAGCTTTAAGCGGGTTGAGTCCAAGCCATCCGGTGTTTCCCGCCTCCCTGAAGCGGTTCATGAACTCCGTATAGAGCGCCCTCTGCAGGCGAGACAGTCGTACCAGGATCACGTGCTCCTCTTTCGCCGGCAGCTGATTGCGGAGAACATCATGACCTCGTCTGGGCAGGTACAAAACAGTTCAGCTTAATTTTTTGGTCCAAAATGAATGGTCCAACCCCAAAATGCACAAAAACGCCATTTTCGTTCTGCACCTAAACCTCCTTAAAAGATCAATTTACTTAAGAAGCAAATATTGTCAACAACAAGACTCATTTTCAAGACAATTTACTTCTCCAGAAAATATACTTTGCTTATATAATAATAAGTAGGGCTGGGTTTTGACACAAATTTCACAATTCGATTCGATTCTCATTCACAAGCTTGCGATTCGATTCGATTCAATATCGATTATTTTGGATATATATCAGGTACAGTACATACCAAATTTTCTCAAGGAAAAAGAATCTCTCAACTAATGCTGTAAAATATACATGAGAGTCATTTGGTACTACATTTCTATAATATTGAAGGTTAAAATTGACTGATTTGTTAATAAACAAAGAGAATAAATATTCAATAATAATGTTAAATAAACAATTATTATTCATAACTTTAATGACTCATAACATTTTATAAAAAAATTTTTTATTTTAATTACTATAACTCTGAACAAATTACAAAAGTATGTATATTAATAGACATTAATACAATTAATATAGTATTTTATTAACAATAACACGTAAATATAATACATATTTAATAAGAAATGTAATATGAATACTCAATAATAATAAAAATAACAAAATTAATTAGTACAAGTCATGAAATGGAAACATTTATGTTTAATTGTACATGGTCCCTTTTCAAAAAAATTAAATAAAATAAATAATAATAAATATTTCATAATAATTACTCACCTTTGCACGAAGCCCTCCAGCAGACTGTGCAGGACGTGACTCCTGTATCTCATGAGCTGGACGTCCTGCGGCGTGCTGTCTATACACTGGCCGTTCAGAATGGGACGCTCGAACATGTTACTGAACTCCTGCCGCGTCCCGAGGAAATCGGGCCGGACGAAATCCACCATGCACCAGTACTCGGTCAGGTTATTTTGCAGCGGGTATCCGGTCAGAACCACCCGCCGCCGCGACCGGATGTTCTTCAGGGCCTGCGAGGTGCTGGCGTGGCAGTTTTTGATACGGTGGCCCTCATCGCATATGACGACATCCGGACCGGGTCGCGACAGCGCTCTTTCAATCCCTGAAGATCACAGGACACATGGAAGTTCAGTATAGACCATAACCAGAGTAAACGCCATACATTTTTCACCCGCAAATCCCCGACAGACCTTTCATGAGCTCCTGCTGACGGTCCTCCTCATCCAGGTCGATAATTACAGGTCCCGCGGGTTTCTTGGACTTCCTCTTGCGGCCGGTCACAAAGCTCTTTTTGAGAGACAGTAGGCGGTACATCTCGTACCCCATTAGCAGCACCCCACCGTCACGAGTCCAGTCCTCCACCACCTTGGCCCGGGCCACCGTGGTTCTAGACCAGATGCGAGGAATACATTTATGTTACAGCAGATGCTAAAAAAGCCACTTGCAGTGCATTTAAGCTATGAATTTTATCAGTATGCGTGATCCTTGCCATTGCTAGCACCATTAGCTGCTGAACTACAGATCATCATTAACACTCTAATCTAACAAGGATCCCAAACATATTGTGAGAGATTATATTTGTCATTTTGCGGGTAAATCTCACAAAAACGAAATAAAAAAAGTAACTTAAAATTTAATAAAGGATTATATTTTGCATAAATTATATCTAGCCTATTCTCGAGTAAGGCTACAGTTTTATTTGAGACCAAGTCTTAATTGTAATTTATGACAATTAAGCACATTTTCTCTCCAAATTCATTACTGTAATGTGTTTCATATCCAATGTTTTTTTTTTGTAATTAACAAATAATTCTTATTATAATAAATATATGTAAATGTATCATACAACTACATATAACAAATATAAGTAAAAAATAATTTAAATTTTTTTGTTATTATCATTAATATTATTAGACATTTATTATAATCAGTTATAATAACATAACATGTAAATAATAAACATTTAATAATAATAATATTGAATGACCAGATTAAATTGTGTAATTTGTCATAAATATGTAAATTATATATTTTAAATGAAGATATTTTATATATATGCCCCTTATTATTACAATTATTCAAAATATATGTTATTATAATAACCTTTGAGTAATTTAATAATAATTATAAGAAGCATCTATTACAATAATATGTGTAAATAAAAATAATTATAATAATCATCTATTACAATAATATATGTAAATAAAAACGAACACTGTGTTCACATTGTCAATGGTGATTCTCGTTACTTTCATACAATGATTTTTTAAATTTAAATCACCTTAAATTAAAGCATAAATTATATGATTATATGTGAATATATTAATGGACATATTATATTGTTTTATTAACATTAACTTAATTATTATGTAATTTTGTACTTAATTTACTAATACATTTGCTCTTATTACAATTAGGTAATAACTATTTAATCTTGAATAATAATGGATTTAAATAAAGCAATATTATATATATAAAATAATAATTATTATTAATTTCATATTATATTCTTATCACATTAATGACACTGGAATTACGGCAATGAAAACTGAGGGCAGAAATGTGCTTAATTATTGATGTCACAATATAAAAACAAATAATAATTTAAATAATTTCCTACTTCTTTCATTTGTTTTTGCAGTGCAATATGATCTAAACATGTTCTTGTCAGTTTTCGTGAGATTCCCCCTCTTTGGAGTTCAAATAATAGGAAGTGCAGCGTTCATACTTGTGCTCATCATTGAGGATGTAAACCTTAAAGGTTCGAGGTAAAGCATGGACTGGATCCGTGTCGGGGGGAAGGGACTCAGCAGCAGGCAGCCAGAGATTAAACTCAGCCAACCAGTTCTGTAGTGTATTCACCTGGAGGCGAGAGGAGACATGAAAAACAAACCTCTCTGACAGAGCGACACAATCAAGGCAGTCTTTGGTTCTCAAATACTCACAGGTACAATGGCGAGGACAGTTTTGGCTCCAGTGTGCCGCAGCAGGACGTCGATAAAGGAGATGACCTGAAGGGTTTTGCCCAGGCCCATGCTGTGAGCCAGAATACAGCCGAAGCCACTGCTGCTCTTATAGCGCTCTAGAGACTCCACCAGGTTATCATACAGGAAACGAATACCACCAATCTGACAGAGAAAGGAGAGACATCGACAAATAGGTGCCATGTCCAAATGAAATGGAAAAATGGTGTTAATTTCATAGCAGAACAGCGGGTACCTGGTGTGGTTTAACAGCGCGGGCGAGCCGCGGGGCGAGGAACAGGTCCTCCTCGTCTCCAGGATGGTTGATATTGACCAGCACCCTTCCCTGGGCATCTGGTTGATTGAGGCTGTCGTTCACATGAGACCCGCTGCTCTCCTCCGTGCCAGGAGTGACAGAGCGATCTTCACTGTTGTCTTCCTCACTGCTTATCCGCAGGGCATCTTCATCACCTGAACTTAATTCGATCACATCTGGAGGAGCACAAATGAACATCAAGATACCTCAACCACAATTTGCTTCTTAAGAAAATAGATTTTGCCTACATTACACACACACACACATACACACACATATATATATATATATATATATACATAAACATATATATATATACACACACACACACATACATTTTAGGTTTTATAAACAAAATCTATATAGCCACGCACACAGTAATCTCAAGAAAAATTATGAATATTTAATAAAACGCATATGTAAATAATAATATTTAACAAACGTAAATAAACATTCATAATAATTTACATATATATTATTGCTATTATTAAACACAAATATATTAATAAATATATTAAACACAAATAAATGTGACTTTTTAAATAATATGTAAATAAATGTTATTAAATGTTGTTTATAAATATTATAACAAAAATAATTACATTTGAAACATGTATCACATAATATTTTACACACATACAGACAAAAGTAAAATTATTTATATATATTTACTGTTAATATTAAACATGTATTATAATGCATATTAAATAATAATTACAAAAAATATATGCAAACGATAATAAAGGTTTACTAAAAATATGTAAGTAATTGTATATAAACATCATTAATTACATATGTTTAATGTTAATGGTATTATTAAACATTTATCGTAATACATTTTATATAATAATTACTATAAATAAACGTAAATAATAAATGTTTACTAAAAATGTAAATAATTATGTTTAATAATAATAAAAATGAAAAAAATAAGACTTGCTTCAAATTACATATTTTGAGTTTATAAGATATACAAGTCATATAGTATAAAAATAGTAATAAAAACATGTAAATAATAAGAAAAATGTAATAATAATGAAAAAATGTAATGCAATAATGTAAATGACAAATACTGTACTACTACTAATACTTGACTTTACCATCTCTGAGGGCAGGCAGCTGAGGGGGCGGAGCTTCTTTAGCCTCGCCCTCGTCTCCGCTGCTGTCCAGACAGATCACTTCCTGTTTGGGACCTGGCGCTGCAGTGGATAGATCTGACAACGGCGGCACAACGCAACAAATTAACTAACTACAATACCAACAATTCTGCAGAGGAGGAGTGGGCGGCAAAGGCGAGTCTCACCTGCGAGAAGGGGGAAGTCTTTCCTCTGCTGTTCGAGACGCCGCCGTCGCTCGAGCTCCTCCTGCTGGGCAGCTTTGGTTCCCGCTTCCAGCTGGTGCTCCTTAAGGAGCTTCCTGCGAGCCGGAGGGGAGAGATGCAATTAGCAGGAAGACAAATTATTGTAATATATAAGTGTGACATGCTCAACATTCACACAGGCCATTTTTTTGGCCCAATGAGATTTCAGTGGCCAAAATAGAAACCGAGAGAGACAACACTTCCAGATGTGTGATGCTTATTGTGACTGGTTAGCATTAAAAAGACAGGATTTAATAGAGTCGGAAGTAAAACTCCTTACTTCTCCATAGGAAACTTAAAGGTCCCATATTGTCAAAACTGAAATTTCCTGGCTTTTTTCACGATAACTGAGGTCTAGGGGCTATTTAACTACCATATAAGTTTCAAAACAGTCAGTCCACAGTAAAATGCACACAGCTTGCATAAAGTAGCTGTGATTTTTCAGGAATCGTTGTGACTTCCGTAAAAAGTTGACATCAGAACTACACAGTCACTGCCTTCAGTCACC